AGATGAGTTCCTCGAACACTGGCGCTGAAATGACTGAGGCAAGAATTGCTTGGGGTGGAAATGCTGGCGCTGGGGCCGAAGCTTGAGCCAGGCCATCTCCCAGCTCCACGTAGTTGAGGTCGCCCCGGCGGCGGTGGCGCCGACGCTGGAGCTCTAGCAGGTTGAGGCGCCAGCGCGGGCGGTCCTCCTAACTGCGCTCCCGCTGGCAGGTCCAAGTGGAGATCTCGATTGCGCCGTGGCGCCCATGAATTTGCAACCTTCAGCCCGAGCGCGCACTGCAGCTGCTTTCATGCTTGCTCCAGGATGTCGAGCTCCATGTCCACATCGATTACGTCATTGGCAGATCGCCTGCAGGTCCGCGAGTGAGCTGCCACACGGTGGCGCTGATAGACACTCCGAGAGTCCATGGACAGGCTTCCGCCGCCGGGTTTCGCCAGATCCCGGCGGCTGGAATCTCGCTAGAGAGTTTCCCATGGCAAGGGCTCTCGTCCTCGCCGAGGCATCGATGATAGGTCGAACGTCCAACCGCGATGCCCGCGACGTCGAGCATGGTCGCTTTCGGTCGCCATCCCCTGGTAAAGTATATCGCTCCGTGGCGACGCTGGTCGAGGACTGCCGGCTTGCTTCTGCCCACGCAAATGCATGTTTATGGGCGACCGACGAGCAGCTGGGAACCATCTAATGTCTCTCAGACGAGACCCTTCTTGTTCTCAGCACCGAGCACCCACTTGCACCCGTAGCCCATTGACGTCCTGAACGGTCTTCTTGCCGCGCTCGAACCTTGGTCGCTGCCATGGAAGCGGCGTTGGCCCGCGGCCATGGTGAGCATCTTGGCGAGGGGGAACTGGCCTGATATGTTGAGCGTACTGTTTGTCATCCAAGATGTTTTAGTGACCAATGCGACCGATGTCCAGTCAACAAAGTTGACCAATTGGATATCGCAGATGAAGTCGGAGGCGTGCGACTGCCATTGGAAGCCTTGCCGAGCAGGATCAGTCACCCTGGCCATCCACTTCATGATCCAATTCATTGCTTTCCATAAATTGGGATGCATTCGCTGATGTAATCACCGGTAATACTGTACCAAGGCCAAACTGTTCGGGCATGCTCACGCAGCAAGTCTCCGAATCCGTCATGAGCTCCGCATTTCGCCGCTGTGGCAAAACGTCCGCAATGCGCAGCGGCGGCTGCGTTGCCACCCGAGCCATCAAGAAACAACTCGTGGGCATTCTTTGCCAGACCTGATTGTGAGCTGGCGGCGCAGGCGCGGGCGCAGTTTCCTCGCGGGCCGTCGCGTCTCTCGTCGGCGGCGCAGGCGGAGTGGCGCCGACGCAGTCAGCGATGTCGTCGACGAGGGCATGGTCGGAGGCCCTCGAACTGGAGCTGCTAGCTGCCGCGGTATATTAACCCGACACAATCCTGACATGAACCTCTCCACGTCTAAACCAGATGCTGCACCGGGGCAGCGTTCGCCCTCTAGGCCTGACGGCGCTGCCATCGGCGCCAGGGGGCCCGCGCCCGTGCCCGGGCTCTGCGACTTTCGCTTATCCTCCATCTGCTGGCCTGCCGATGCACGGAGAAGCTTGACATGCTGCATGACTGTCTCGCGTGGCCCCCCTGCCACTGGCCGACTAGGTGCTTCTCTCGCACCCCCCCGCGCGCGAATGAACGCGGCGCGAGCCAGTCAGGTAGAGCCCGCCGAAGAACGTCCGATGCGTCGCCCTCGCCCTCGTCTGAGGAATGTCTGCCGTCCAGGACCCTCAGGGACGTGGCGCCGCCATCTCCTTGTAGCGCTAGACGACGCGTCGAGAACTGTCGCCGCGACCTGACGCTTAGAGGAGGGAGCCCGGGCAACGACATCCAGCGTCGCCGCGTGGATCCAAATCGCCGGCACCATCGGCAACTCAAGGAAATGGCATGCCCAATGGTGTCAGTGCGAGTCCTTTGCTTTTCTCCTCTCTGCCGGCAATGCCAACAAACTGGCTCCCCCGCGGGCTGGCGTTGACCACCTTGGCCGCGCCGCGCTTCGAGAGAACGTCGGCGACGCGCTCCTTCGCGGCGTCGGCGCCCACGATGGCCTTGGCTGCCCGAGCATCCGCGCGCGTTCCGTGCTCGGGGCGCCTTCGAACCGCGTGGAAATTGTGATGCTCCGAGATGCGCGGCGCCCGTTGTCCAGACTGGCGCCAATCGGAAGCCCGACGAAAAACTGGACATGTTACTTGCTCATGAAAAACAACGACCAGCAACGTCGTGGCCGACAACAGAGCTGCCCGATCTAATCCACTTCCACCTCGGGAAGTCCTCGATGCTGTAGGCTGGTCTGAAAATTCTGCTTCCCAGCCCCCTGGGTCCTCAGTGCCGATCTCTGGCGTCTGTCGCCGCCGTGCCAGGAGACTGTCGAAGTTGAGCTCGGGCAATCATCTTGAGAGTCTCTCCGTCGGTGGTGAACTCGCCAGGGATGTCCTGGTCGGCGGTCCTCGTGGGATGCGGAAGCCTCGCGGTGCGCGCTGAGGCCACCGATGACAGCTTGCCGCCTCCTCTGGAGGCTTTGGGTGATCACTGCTGCTCGTGCCAACGGCTGTCTGGGAATCTGAAGTGTCTCTCGCCGTGAAGGTGCCCGTCGATTAATTCCAGCGCGATGGGGTGCCGTCGTCGTGCTCGTGGCAGATTTCTCCAGTCGGCTGCTGGTAGAAACAACACTTCGCCTTCAGACCATCCAGTGTTCCGGCCTTCGGCACAGGCATCTTCGAAGCCATGGTCATATCCGTATCCGAGATGAGCTGGGCCGTCTTTAAGCAGATAGGTGCCACCACTGCGATATCGAACACCTGAGCCGCGTCCTTCGCGGTTGTAGCCCTTGGAGTTGGAAATGTACTTGCCTTTGCGGCAGCCCTTTGATGATCGACCCTTGCTATTGCCTTTGTGGTCGACGCTACTGTTGCCCTTCTTGCCGTAGTGCGTTTTGTACTAACCTCTGCCGTCGGAAAAGTCGCCGTCGACTCGAAACCGTAAGCCGAAGTGTTCTCTTTGACAGCTGGGCTCGGCGCGGCATAAAGGAGGTCTTCGCGATGCCGTTCATCTGTAAACCAGGCTGCGCCTCTGCGTCCGTGAAAGACACGTCGTAGAGCGACAGGTAGTCGCCGAATTTGCTGCTCCCTCTGAAAAAAAAGTGTGTACGTCCCACTGAAGATCTCGCCTGTCCGTGATGTATTTTCCATGGTCTGCAGCAGAAAAAGCTTCGCCCCACTCTCCTGTGCTTGTTTCAGACATGGCCCAATATGAACTTCACCAGTCGCTGGTTCCGTGAAGCGCCCTGGTGTTTCTAGAACTGTTGTTTGTCCGATCGTCGCGCCGTACCTTCGATGACGTAGGCCGCACATTGGAAGACCTCTCCGCGAAATCGTCCACATATAGCCGGGCCCGACTGAACCTCCGCTAAACCCTTGTGAAGCCCCAGTAGCTTCAAGAGTTGCGCGTACATTCTGATCGGGTAACGCTGGAGTCGTGTGGCTCAACCAACCGCTGTTCTGCGGGTGCAACTGTCCAGAGAAACTCGTCGTCTGCTGCTACCGTTTGTAATAGTTGTGTCCATGGCTCCTGCTTTGAAGAGGGGACTTCTAACATATGTAGAGCTCGAGCGCCGCAAGTGCTTGTGATGTCGGTTCGCGGGTTCTCGCCGTAGGAAGGTTGGTGGTACAACGTGTAGTCCAGCCCGGTGCCTCCACGAACTCATCGACGCCAATACTTCAACCAGCAGGGTCCGATCGCCAAGCCCAAAAGAGCAGGACAAGTCGGAAGAACGCTGAAGGGTGGCCAAGTCGTAGATATGGAAAAAGCTGAAGGAGCCTTGGATCGCACCTGTCGCGCTACCAAACTCGACTTCTTTGCACCCTAGCCGCAACAGCGCAAGGCAACACACATTTTATATCGTCCCTTCTACCATGCCCTCTAACACACATTGCGTTTCGACTGGAACTACCTTCCGCCGTCCCTCTCACGTGTTGATCTTCATGGTTATTCAAGGTACACTGCTGCTCTTCCTGCTCGTCCTCCAATCCTCATCCCTGCTCCTGCTCCACCTCGTCCTCCTCTATCTCTTCCACTTCTCCCTCCTCCTCCGCCTCCGCCCAGGCTGCCTGGCAGAACGGCAGGGGGCAGCACCTGCACACACACACACACACACACAACACACAACACACAACACACAACACACAACACACAACACACAACACACAACACACACACACACACACACACGCACACACGCACACACGCACACACGCACACACACATACACACATACACACATACACACATACACACACACAACACACAACACACAACACACACACACACACACGCACACACGCACACACGCACACACGCACACACACATACACACATACACACATACACATTCACACACACACAGACAGCTTTGGCGCCGCGGCCACGCACGCGGCGGCGCTAGGTGAAGCCACACACACACACACACACACACACACGCACAAACACACTTTGTGGCGGCGCGGCCGCGCGCGCGGCAGCATGAAGGAGCCCGATGCACCCATAGGGGATCGAACGGCAGCATTCGCGAAGGGGCTGGAGACGCGAGAAGGGGAAACAGGGGGGGAGGCCGACAGGAGGAACATGATGCTACGGGCACGACTTTACAAACACACGAGCACACAACACACCCACAAACATAAGACATCCCACACCGTGAACTGTCACAACGTAGCTCCCTCGTGGTCTGGACCTCTTCCCATGCACACGCACAACTACCCCAGACATCCGACGTCGTGTTCCTCTTGTTTTTGTATCAACGTGGCTCCCCGCTGGTCTGGACACCTTCCCGGGGACGGGCTTTCACCCTGAGTCGTTTTCTGGAGGGCCCGAGACCTGGTGGCAAGGGCCACTGGAACCCGAAATAAGCTAGAAGCCTTCCGCAGTGTTCGTTTCACAACGCCGGGATGTCAGAGCCGTCCTCCCAGCGTGGCCTTCCAGGGGGCCACCAGGCACTGCGAGTCCGCCCTGATCCTGTGCAGGTCCCAGCCCCTGCCCTGTGGGGCGGGCGTACAGTAAAAACGTGTACGAAGGACGGGTGGTAATGACGCAAGCCGCAAGACCCATGGAGGCCGAAATTTGGGATTTGTTGGGCGGCGGGCGACCAGTGAAAACGGCAAAGGATAGGCCGCAGAGGCAAGGACACAAAGGGCACTCTAGATGAAGGCGCGCGTCCTTACTAGGCGCGTTGACTGTAGCATCATCGCGGCAGCAGCGGCAAGTGGCAGAGCTGCAGCCGACAAGTTCGGCCTCGGCCAGGCGCCGTCGTCGCGGGGGGGGCGGAGGGGAGGGGGGGGAGAGGGCAAATTTCGCCCCCTACCCTCGAACCCAGATCTCCGACGAAATATAGGACGCACAAGGACATACTAGTCACATGTGTCTTCCCAGGAGGCGTGCATCAGGACCCTGATACATAATATAACCATCTTGTAATACATGGCTTCCTGGGCGGTATGGCTAGAAAACGCCCGTCACGGAACATATGCTATAAGATATTTCTCGGCGCGCGCGTCGTCCTTGGGGGGCGACGTATACACACACCACACACACCACACACACCACACACACACACACACTCTCTCTCACACACACACAGTATTAGTATGTTTTTGGTGGCACCGAAAATACTTGCTCAATAGGGCGTCCTCGATGTCGGCCCTCCAGGGCCCCTTTTTCTGGTCCTGGGACCATGCACACACGGATCCGGGACAAAAAACGATCTCCCCTGGAATAGGTCGGGTCCTCTGGGCCGCGGATTGCAAACACGTGGTGCGGGCGGGTGTCAGGGAAGGTCGAGGGGCGGATCACTTCCAGCGGTTCGGGCCCTCGCCTGACCTCCAGAAGCTGCTGGGGGCCTCCGGATATCCGCGGGGGGCCTGGCACGATCCTGGCCCCCAGGAAGTTTCCAGAGGTCGACCTGCGGGACCTCCTGGGATCAGCAGTTGGGGCGGAACCAAGCCTTCCTTGGTGTGGGGGTTTGGTGGGAGGGGGGGGGGGGGGGGGGGGCGAAGGCCAAGTTTTGCTCTCCACCGTCGAGGGTCGAGGGAATGATCTTTTCGGACACTCTTGGCCCTCCTCGGGCCCCAAGAAGCCCCGGAAGGCCTGCGCATGGAGCTCAGGTGCCTCAGAAATCTGCCCACATCCAGCCCTCTAAACCTCCTTTTCCTCCCTCACTCCCTCCTTCCTCCCCCGTCCTCCCACTCCCCCGTCATTCTCCCCCTGTCCCTCCTCCTACTCCGCCTTATCCTTCTCCTCCTCTTCCCCCTCCTCCTACCTCCAAGAAGGCCCGGAGGCATCCGAATGGGTGCCCACCCCCGTCACAACGGGGGAACCCCAGGCGCTGGGGTAATGGTCCCCGGGCCCCAGCAACGAAAAAAAAACCTCCCGGGCAAAGTCTCTTGGAGGACTGGGCCCGCGGCATTCCGCCTCTGAGTGAATTGTCTAACTATGAACTGCAATGCTTGCAGGGGATGCTTGAGAGGGAGCGGGAAAGGGGAGCGGAGGTTGAGCAGGGACCGACCGTCCTGGCATTCCTATAGTCCTACCAGAAAATGTTCTTAGAACCCACAAATGTTCGAATAACAAAAACAATATTCTTAGAGCATAAACCCGATGTGATAAAACAAGACAGACTCCGCCAGAAATGTTCGAATAACATTTCGTGAAAACCACAAGAGGTTCTTAGAACATTGTTTGGTAGGGCTATAGGCGAGCCAGGACGCTGCGCCACTGCTTGAGGAAGGCGGAGGGCGCGGACGGTCGGGGCAGTCACGCAGGCAAGCGTGGTGGTCGACGTAGGGGACGCGGTGGCTGGGCCAACGGCGGACGTGGTGGTCATTGTGCCCGGCGTGGTGGTCATTGTGGAGGTCGGGCTGGGTGGGCTGATGGTCGGGCGCCGTGGTGGTGATCGTGGTGGCTTGGCCGGCGGTCGTGCTGGTGGTCGTGCTGGTGGTGGTCAAGCGTCAAGCTTGCGCAGTGGTCGTGGTGGCGGCCGCAGGAATCGTAGTGGTCGCGTTTTTTTTGGTCACGGTCACTGGTGGCAGTCGTGGTCATCAAGGCCGCCATGGTGGCGGCTACGGCCGCTGTTGGTCGCCGCAGCGATGGTGAGCCGCTGGCGCGGGGCGGCTTAGCGACCAAGCGAACTGAGCAGCATCTCGGACTTGCCAGTCTGCAAACACCTGATGGTCTGCCTCCACACCTTCCCGAGGACTTCGGTCCGGTCAACGTTCTCGCGCCCATGACCGTACGACCTGGTTAATTCGACGGCCGCTTTGGACGGACCGCCTCGCGACTCGAACACCAAGGGCACCAAATTCCCGAGCTGCGGAAGGTCGCGGTCGCGCTTGTCGTGGACCATCTGCGGCGCCGCGACCCCGTCGTTGTTGGATCGAGCTCGCCTGCGAGGGCCGTGGGTGCTGTATTCGCAGGTCACGTCCCAATCCACGTGTCTCGTGCGCAAGCGTCCAACTTCGCCTCTTCCATGACGCCCATCCGCGGGTTGAGCATGTCCCAGCAAAGAGCCCTCTGCTCCGTCGCGGCGTAGTAGCCCGCGAGGCGCGTGTGTGCCTGTGTGTGGGGCGTGCCAATCCCGTATGCTGTCGTGGCGGCCGGTGCGGGACCCCCCAACAGGGCGGCAGTAGGCATGCCACCCGTGCGGGTCCAACGGCTCATTGCGCGGCAACCCAATATCGGTGTGTTTGTGCTGGGAGCGATTTCCTGGCGGGCACGCAAGAACCCGCAAAGGCTCCTTGTACGCCGCACGAAAATACCTGCCCGGCATGGGCTGGTCACCTTGCTCTCGGGGGAGCAGGAACTCCCGGCGCCCAGTCTGCCTGTCCCACGGAGGTGGACCCGATCGTGCTCTCCCAGTGTTCCCAGAAGTCGTTCCCTCCCAGCCGAAGACCTCGCTCTGCCCCGCTGCCCCTGAAGCTTCAGTTGCGGTTCCTGGAAGGTGTCCAGCCACTCTCAGGGGTTCGATCGAGCCCTGCGTCCGCAGAGCCGCCCCCGCCTCCCGGAGCGATTGGCACGTCAAGAGGTATCGGGCCTGACCGTGCCCCCGAGTCGCAAACCGAACGCCGAGGGCCACGTCCGCACGAACATCGCTCAGCTCGCGGAGTACGCGGCCGGCGCTGTTTCCTTGGCGAAAGGGAGAGGGCACCCTTCATCATCCAGCCGCAAGGTGGCTTGCAGCTTCTGCGCGCCGCAGGAGTTCTTCAGGGCACCCGGAAACAGCGTCGTCGAAGGCACCACCCCACCCCACATTTTCGCTGTTCGCTGCGCGAACGTGGTGCGCCACCGCGCCCTCAGCGGAGGTGCGGAGGAGGACCCGAGTTCCATCGGCGGAAAGCTGGGCAACCCGACGGTTTTGCAACCGTCAAGCGGTGGCCCTTGCCACGGCGGCCGCTCCGTCGGCGCCAGCGTGAACCCAGACCCTCTCGTTCTCCTGATCCATCCACGTTGCTGCTTTCCCAAGACAAGTGAGAATGTCAATCCGGGCCTGCTGCGCCCTCGGGGGCAGGGCCTGCGCCAGGTCCTTCGTCCAGGCTTTGGTCTAGCTCTGGTCCACCTGTGGCCTGGCCTGCATGAGCACTGTGACAATTATCTGGATGGCCGCGTCGGCCACTTCCCGCGGCCCAAACACCATGACGTCGTCGAGGTCGGAAAACACGCGGCAGTCGGGGGACAATCGCCGGAGATCTACCGCGACGTCGCCAAGCGCATCCGCCACCGCAATGGAGAATACCTCTGGGGACAAGGGGCAGCTTTGGCCCACCCCGCGCGTCGTTCGGATAGGATAGGCTGTGTCAGATTCGTCCCAGAACATGTGCGTCGTGGCGTTCGTTCCGAGCCAAGCCTGCGCGACGTGGTACAGCTCGGGCGTTTCGGCTGCAACCCCATCCATGAACTGGCTCCGCGGGATCGAATTGAATGCGTTGGTGGCGCCAAAGCTAAGCACGACACTGTCAGGGCTGGCATTAATGCTAAGGTCCTCCTCCTGTTTTTCCTTCTTTTCCTCCTCCCTTTCCTCCTCCTCCTCCTCCTCCTCCTCCTCCTTCCCGTTGCCCTCCTAATTTTCCTCCTCCTCCTCTCGCCGGCTCCTTTGCAGGAGGGGAGGGCACATAATGAAAACCAGTACCTATCGAGATGTTGACAAACGGCACGCGCCAAGATATACATGCTCGGCCCCCCCCCCCCCAAAAAAAAAACATTCTGGATGTGTGCAATACTCATGTTTCGGCAGCGCGTCGCGCAACCCACAGCATCGTCAAAAGCGTATCTTAATGGCAGTCGCTGACCCATTCTGTCGAAGAGCTCCTCAAATGCGAACCTGTATGAATTTCAATGTATTATGGCCTAGCCAAAGGCGACGGTGCCTCACAAAACGACTGATAGTCGGCCAGCATACGTACAGCAATTGGTTCAAGCTGCGGTCGAGCTCATAATGTGGTGGTGCATTTGTACACGATCTAAAGCATGCACAGCAAAACGGTGCACAACATCAGCGTCAAACGACGAGTGTACCCATAGTCTCGCCTACTCAGCCGGTCGTGCAATTTCTTGAACAACGGAATATCCATACCGCTACGCTAGCGCGTCATTTATTTGAGCAGGCGCATGCCAACTCCATCACATCTGCGCCCGAACAGCTGGTGAGAACTGCCGGGGGGGGTGAAGTAAACGGGTGAGGGGCGCAAATTTCCAAAATGAGGCCAATGGAAGCGGACCCCCTCCACGCACACTTTTTGTTAAGCCGTCGGCGCAGAGGAATCAGGCGTGGTGGGCAGATGGAGGTGCGAATTGCGAACGAACTTCGTCGAACGCTCCGTGATGAAAGAGTCCGGCCACGGCCATGCATATTGGTGGTGGTGATACGATGAGGCACTGCGAAGCCAAAGTGCAGCGGCCAAGCTTCCCGCGGAGCGTAGCTTGACGCCAGGAGTTGAAGCGCAAACAGCAATTTGAAGCGAATTATACAACAACCAACCATCCCGGGGAA